TTTTCTCTGGGGAACAACAGAAAAAGCTATCACCTATCTGAGGGCTGGAAGAGGTCTGAGGATGCCCTTGATCTCTGAGACAGAGACAACCCTCAGGCTCAGAGCCAGAAAATCACCTTGCCCGTGGCCCTGGGGTTACTTAGTTGGAGTTTAATCAAGCCTTTGGATCATATGTATCTCTTCACAGTAGACCCTTATGCACCAAGCAGGCCTGCGATGATGTTTAGTAGACCTGAGCTCTCTGTCAACGGGCACTGTATGCAAACCAAAACTAGGCTATAAACCAAGGTACAAGGGTAACATGTTCCTTTCTGAAATAATTAGTTTGACTATATAAGAAACAATATTACTTTCACAGGCCACCATTAGACTATATGGCACCTTTGTGCCAACAGTACCTCCTTCATCAATACCCTTTACTTTCTCTTTTTTTGTCTTTTCTTTTTTTGAGACAGGGTCTCGCTATGCAGTTCAGGCTGGCCTTCAGCTCACTTTGTAGCGCAGGCTGGTCCCAAACTCGCAATGATCCTCCTGCCTCAGCCTCCTGAGTGCTGGAATTACAGGCATGTGTCACCACGCCTGGCTTAATATCCTTTACTTTCATCTGTCAGAAAGTTCAAAACAATGTACTAATTTTGTTACACACTCTTACTGCCATCTGTTGGAAAACAGTTATAATAAATTTATACATCTATCATATCTGTGATGTGAGGGACACACTAACCCCTTACATGCAGTGCATAGCCTGCACTGCTGTCCATGGAATGTGTTATGTTTTAAGAAATGATCTTTTGAGTTCCAAGGAAAATAGACATATGTCAGCGGCAACTCCAATCTCCCATCCAAGAGACCACACACAGACTATGTCGGGAGCAGGATTCTTGAGGCCGCAGTGTTGGAACAGGGCATAGAACTTAGAAGGCAATTTCTGAGAGCCACTCAATAGGTCCTGCTTTGGTCGTGATGTTCAGGCCTACTGCTGATGCCATTTCACTAAGCATCCAAAGAGCTTGCCTCTGGATCTATGCAGGAGGTGAAACTGCCCTCACTTTGTTGGTAACAGGGAAATATCCATAAAAACGTGAGCACAGAAGAGCATGTGCATGTGTTAGTTCAGATGTTTCAAATCCTTCCCTGGACTTTTACCTTGGTTGTTTCCCATTCTCTATACCAAATCATCACACTGGCATGGCTATCAGAAGTGAGCCAGCTTTTTCACTTCTTAGGAAAAATAAAACTCTGGATCCACAGAACAAGGTGCATTGATGCCATTTGTATCTAGCACCCGCTAGTTCACTCAGTGAGTAGGCAAAAAAATATCAGGTTCTGTACCAGTTAACTTCTGCTGCATAAGTAACCTCCCCAGTGTTTAGCAGCCTAAATAGAACAACCATCTTTGTAGCTCACAATTCTGTGTGTTGCCAGTTTGGACTGAGTCAGTCTCTGCTGGGTCCCCGGTTCATCTGCAGGGAGTTAGGATCTGGCTGCTCTCGGTGGGCCTCAGCTGGGATCTTCTGTCCTTCGGCAGGCTAGAATGATCTGATTGCATGCAGGCAAGGCAGGGTTCTGAGAAGGTAATCAGCAGCGTGGACGGACACAGCATCACATCTCTTACATCTGACTGTTGAAGCCTCAGTGGAGCTTTAAGGCTGGAGAAGTAGACACCACCTCGTGATGGGAATCACTGCAGGCACACAGCAAAAGGGACGGACACAGGGCAAAGAAAGTCGTGGGCACTTTTGCAACATACCACTGACACTCACCATAGGTGAGATGCTGAGTGCTGGACGTAAAATGCCTAGATCTTGCCTGCAAGGAGCCCTAAGACAAATGCAGAAGCTAACACAGATGCAGAAGGCCAGCCTGAACTGCAGAGTGAGACCGTGCCTCAAAAAAAACAAAAAACAAAAAACAAAGAGAAGCAGAATAAGAGTCTGCTAGTTTTGTGCTGCTGTAAGGGTATGTTCCCTGGAAGTAAAAGGGAGTCACTTGGGGTTACGGAAACAATCCATCACCCACAAACATCTGGTCACTTTTGCCCGGATCTCAGCCACATCTTCGTCTCTGAAGAATACTTCAAGGAGTAGTTTCTTAGTGAAACGTTTCTATTAAGTTTTAGTCTGTTTCTTCGGTCTTCTGTGGGTGTACTTTGGGACAACAACAATGAGTTTTTATAATTGTCTAGATCAGAGCACGCCTCCTTTCCACATCCCTTGCAGAGGAGAGAAGGGGTGGGAGGTGGTCTGAGAAATGTGCTCTTAGGCTGGAAAGAAGCCACCAGGGCTAAAGACACCAGGAACTCAGTGTGTACTTACAGGACTGGCCTTGAGGATCAAAGCTCAGACTATAAGACTTTTGCTAGTTGTTCTAAGAAAGCTTCTGTTCCCTTTTAGTTATTCAAACTACAATGCCTTGTTGACCCCACATAAAGCAAATGCTCAGAGTTCCCCTGACAGTGTAGGTGGAGGTACCTGGCAGCTCCTTTGACAGTTCTTGTCCTTAGCTAGGTCAATAAATCACCTCATGGCAATTTGAGGGGACTATGAGGTAAGATAATTCCTGATCACCTGTTTTCCTTACTTTGGAGGAGCTGATGGTCATCAGGGAAAATATTCTATTCAAGGGAAATAGAAAAAATTTTTATTCAAGGGAAATTGATTCAGTCAGCAAGGTTTGGGTGTATGGTGTGAGTGTGTTCCCCAAAGACTTATGTGTTGGATGATACTAAAGGGCCTAAGTCCTACCCTTAGGAGGAATTATGTTAGTGTTCATGGGATCCTGGTTAGTTCTGACAAGAGAGTTGTTACAAAGAGCAAGGCTGGCTCCTTCTCACTGTCTGCTTCCCTGTCTTCATGTGAGCTCTCTCTCGTGTGTACTTCCACTACAATGCCATCTATCATGACACCCTTACTAGATGTTGAACTAATGGTGCTACTCAATCTTGAACTTTTAGGCTCCAAAATAGTGAGCTAAGTGAACCTTTTTTTCATTATAAATTATAGAGACTTGGGCATTTTGTTATAGCAATGGAAAGTGGCCAAACAGAATGACTTTGATGCTTACCATTGTGCTTGACTTATATTAAAGAAACTGGAGGGGAGATATACAACAACAATGTTAAAAGTGCTCAAGAGTTTGCTTTATAATTTGTTTAGGGCATGTTTTATATATACATTCACTGTTGGCTGTAGGTTACAGAGATTGCTAGTCATGAGGGCTTTCAAATATGACTATGGGAGTTATAAATAAATGATATTCTTGTACCATAAACCTGCAGTGCAGACGATCTGCCAGCAGTAGATCAAGTGTGTGCCTTGGGTTTGAATTTTTCTGTTCAAGGGAAATTGAAACAAGTATTTGAGGGCAAGAAATTTGGCAGGTGAGCTCAGAAAACACTTATAGAACACGAAGTGAGACAGAGAAGGCAGGAAGCTGGTAAAGGATGTGTTATCAACTTGGTTACTACGGTGGACAAGCTCCCCTGGGAAAGAACCTACACTTCAGAATTCTTCCACCCCAGGAGAGAGGGAGCTGGGGTATTTATACCCCCTCGATGGCCAGTCATATTTAAGGGCAAATACAGGGAGAGAATTCTGGCCTCAAGAACAAAGGCTTCTAATACTGGTGAGCAAACAACAAGAGATGCCAGGCCTTCCTGAGAACAGGAGAAAGAGTGAGCTTTAGGATACAAAAAGGTACTTAAACATTAGCAGTAGTGCCTGTGATGACTGAGGAAAACTAGAAACTAGAAACTTGTCTTATCATACGTGAAAAGTCACAGAGCAAATCCAACACCAGAGGGGTGGCAGAATTTTTGGAACAAAGCTAACGGAAACTACCACCCCAAATCAGGATGAGTAGTCAGCCCTAGGTGAAGCCCTGCTGCTGACTTGGCTTCACAGACCCCCGGGTTCCACAGGTGTGAGAGGAAGAGCTGTATGGTAGCCATGTAGAACGCAGACCTACGATGCTTTAAAGAGCCTATCATGTCAGAGCAGTTTTTATCAGATTGCTTCACAGATGGCTAACACCTCCCAACATATTAATAAGTTCATTAAAAACCAAACAAACTCAGAAAATATCAGGCCCCAGGGTTACTTCCTGTGCTGGTTACTTTTCTGTCATTGCTGAGACAAAATATCTAACGCCCAAAATTAAGGAAGGAAAGGTTTATTTAGCTCAGGGGTTGTGGAGGTTTCAGTCCATACTCGGCTGGCTTCAAGGCAGGGTGGCACATGGTAGAAGGCAACAGTTCATAGCAGCGGAAGATACAAAACCAAGGAACCGTGGTAAGCAGCCTCTTTCCCTCCCTTACATTGCATGCAAACTACCTGCCCCAGGGCAGGTGTAGCACTCACATCCATAATTCCAACATTGGACCATGGATCAATCAGAAGTCTAGACACCTGCCCCATGACTGCATGAGGCTTAGGGGGGACATGCAGACACAACCATAACACTTCCCTACCTAGTTATCAGATCCTTTACTTTTTTGCTGTGCCTTACAAATCTCTGAAAGAAAGAATACATCTCTCCCTGTATTTACCCTTATTTGACCATGAAACCATTTTTTAATTCCCAAACACTTTTTTTTTTGTAGACAGGCTGGCCTCAAACTCACTATGTATGTAGCCCAGGCTGGCTTCAAACTTGTGGTGATCCTCCTGCCTCAGCCTCCCAAGTGCTGAGATTATAGGTGTGCACCACCTCACCTGGCTTCCCAAACACCTTCAAATAACTCAGTTGGAAAATATTGTACCAGAACCATTTTACAAGGAATGAACAGCTTGTCACAAGATGGCCTGCTAGAAGTCCATTTGTTTTGGAAAGTGTCTTTATGTAACGCATCTCTTGCCAGTGTGTTTTCTAAAAGCAGTTTGATTTGAAGAGCCTTCCAAGCTCTGCGAGGGGAGTTTACACCTAGTCATAGGCCAACCTGACTTGGGATCAAAATAGCTGATTCTCCAGCCTTACTAACTCCTCCTCTTGCTGCTTTTCAGATGGGCTTCTTCCGCCGAAGGTACAAAGAAATTATTGAAGCCGAGAAAAACCGGAAAGAGAACGAAGAAAGTTGGGACTGGGTCCAGAAGAACCAGTGACCTGCCGCACCAGTCACATGACCCAATCACTAGCCTGTTGTCCTTGATCTTTGTATCTTCCATATTTGGAAGAAAAGAATCTTCTCCAGATTTTTCGGAGGCCCCACTGATGCTGTGCTCTTTCTCATTCTTTCAAGCCCGGGTGCCAGCCTGAGGCAGCCACTTCCACCGGCCAGGTCACATGACCAGAGCCACCGCCACTTCCTGTTTAAAGAGAACTCTGAACTTTGGAAAGCGAGCTACAGAGCCGAGCAATATTTATGGATGCAAGATGCGTGGTCAACCCTCAGGGGAAAACTGTTATCTAAAAGTATTTTTATAAATATAAGCCTTTTATACTGATCATGTCTTTATATTTGTATCAATGATTTATTTCTATTAAATAGTTATATAATTCACTCAAGCACTGATATCTGGCCTGACATCTTGGAAATACACTCACTCATATTCAGATTTTAAAGGATAAAACTCTTATTGTACTTTGGAACTTTCTGTTCAAAAAGACTTGCAGATAAAATAAGCTGAAGATACTCCATGAAATGAATCCACCATGCTGGTAGTGCTACAGATAAACTAGACGTGGCAAGACTCTGCGGAGATTTCACATTTTTATTGCCTGGAGTCCAGTTTGGAGTCATGTACTAAGGAACTCTTAAGTGTTTTTTCATATGTCCCTTTCAGTGGAAGACTCCCAGCAGGAACGGGATGGAAACCCTGACTCCTAGCAGCATGTCCGCTCTGCATCACCTTATGCCACATCCATCTCAGCCTCCTCCTGCGTGAGTTGACCGGTGAAGGCTTGGAGCAATGCTGCAGGGTCATCTGGTAGACTTCAGAGTGGCATCTCATCCTGGACACCACAGATCAATGTTCACATCCACGAAGACTAAATCAGCACCTCAGTCCACCACCAGCGCCGCCACCCCGAAAAGACTGTCTGAATGCTGTGTGAGGCATTGCCTGTTCATGGCATTTTAGTTCAAAGGTCCCCGCTTCCCGTACCATTCTTGTAGCCCCCAATGAGTGGTAACTGCAAATTTCTTCCTGGAGATGACAATCCAACCTGTCCTTTTTATTATTATTATTTTTTGAAGTGTTTTAGGTATGATTCCCAGGAAGTAGACCCTGAATCAGAGATTTGTGTGCAAGAAAATTATTAAAGAAGTGTTTACCAGGGGATACCAGTAAGAGTAGAAGCGGAGGGTCAAGAAAAGTAAAAAAAAACCAGGAAAACATGCCCATTTCAGGGAAAGTCCCACCACGCGTGGCTTCAGCCTGATTACCTTTGAGGGTAAGTTATGTCCTGGAGTTGTCACAACCTGAGGCAAGGAAGCTGCGCTTTCTTCCTCGCACATCCAGGGAAGAGGTAAACTTTCTGCTCTTGATTCCTACTGCCAGTGTGGCTCTGCCCTTTGCAGGAGAGCTGCAGGTGCAACCCCAACCCGGGAGGAACAGAAACAATGCAAAAACAAATGATGCACAGAGATTGAAGCAGAGCCCTCTTCCCTCCTACCACCACCCTCACAGGTGTGAATGCTGAGGTATGGCCTTCAGTATTCAAACTATTTGACACTGTTAGGTGTCAGACATACTGTGCTGCCTGGTTTTGAGGCCAGTGTGATTTTCTAGAAGGGGGATGAAGTAATGGATGTAGCACGCTCACCACTGCATCTGGCCCTTAGTGAACACTCAATAACTGTTAACAGCTATGGCTGCTGCTACACTGCTGGGTAACCAGCCAGTAAGGAAGAAAACATGGGGCTAAGCCTAGGGTCTGACAAAGAGTCTTAATGCCTTACTATAGCTTGCTAAAGCCCCAGGTACATCTTTCTTTTAATGTCTTGCTTACCAGTCACTAACATGTTGGATGTCTGTGAACACTGGGTGCTGGGCAGATGCAAACCTGGCATGGAGAGCATGTCTTTTGGTTTATGCAGCTGAGTCTTCTGCAAGAAGGTGATGAATATGCCCTGCTTCCATCCTTGTTGAACGTGGGAATGGACAACGGAAGGCATGATCGAGTTAAGCCTGGAAGCCAGGGATGTTGCTTTTAACAGTGGAATGTAAGCACAGGCGTCAGTACAGTGCAGGATCAAGCAAAGAAATGAGTCCTCACCCAGGTTGTTTATGAGTTTTATCAAAAGCAATAGGAAAAAGTGTTGGCTGTAGTTTAGTCACTGCCTTAACAGCCACACCCTGTTGGGGCCCCTGCTGTGTATCAAGCACTGGGCAGGTGCCAGGGGCTCCCAGAGAACACTGCAGGCACAGCATGCCTCCAGGCGGCAAGCCCTCATACAGTGGGCGTACGGCATGGATTCCTTTGTGGGACTGCATTTACACCTTTCCTTTGGTAGAGTCCTGTTAGTAATGTTATGTTTTCCTTTAATAAATCATTCAGGATTCCTAGATGGTAGAGCCAGGATAGCTCCCTCAGCAGATCTGTCCAGATGCACTGAACACCAGTAACCTGCTTTCTGTAAGGAGTGCGGATACACAGGAGACAGTACAGAAGGCCTGCAGTTCTGCTGGAGCCACCCCAGTGAGAGCAGGGTGGGTTCTGAATGGTAGTTCACATGCGTAGTCACTTGCCCAGGAGGTCATAAGACTTTACAAGACAGTTTTAAGAAAACTGAACTTGACATCACAAGAAGATACTGGAAACCACCCCTGGGACCTGTCTGAGAAAGGACAGTGTCTCTGCTTAACTGATCCAGCTGAGTAGCAGGTAGACCTTAAGGGACAAGGAGTAACCTTTTAGCACAGAGGTGGAGGAAGAAGTGGAGCATATTGAGGGAGCTCTCTCCTCTTGGACAGTTCCCCAGCTCCATCCCAGAAGGTTCTCAGGGGAAGCAGACAGCCGCGCCAGTGTGTCTACCTTGTCTTTCTAAATTCTTTTAAAATTTCACAGCCAGGCATGGTGGTGCACGCCTATAATCCCAGCACTCAGGAGGCTGAGGCAGGAGGATTGTTGCGAGTTCGAGACCAGCCTGGGCTACAAAGTGAGCTCAAGGCCAGCCTAAACTGCGTAGCGAGACCCTGTCTCAAAAAGACAAAAAAACAAAAAGAAACTTAAATTTCCCATTTTTCAAAATTGATTCCCTTATGCTTAGTTACATAGGACTCAAGAGTTTGGAACACCCCAAGTGAGCCTTGGACCTCTCACAAAGAAGAGGCCATGAAGCTCAGAAGCAAGGGGACAGTAGGAGTAGGGATCAAGGTCCACTGACGGTGGGAACTGACAGGCGCACATCCAGACCCTTAGCCAGTGAGGTGGGGGCAGGGGCAGTGCTTCAGTAGACTCTTAGCATCCCAGTGTTCAGAGACTTGGCCAACTAGAAAGTCCAGGAGAGACTCCTGCTCCAAGAAATTATGGGTAGCCTCTAGTCCTTGAGACAAAGACAAGGGGGTTAATAAACCAACAAAGGCAGCAGCCCCTAGGACACCCGAGGCCTGTCTTCCACACTTGCAGAAATACAGCAGATCCCCAGTGACCACATGCTGTGTGCTTCTGATTATCCTCAGCATGGTGGGTCTTGAACTGTTATCCACAACTTTTATTTTTGGATAAAGCCTTATGACTAAGTGAAAATACTTACACCTGATTACCTGTAAAATGTATACAAGGTGAAATGTATGCTTGACTCCAATTTTCCAGAATTTAGAGGAGCCGCAAAGAATCGTCATGGGGTGAGAGGTGTTAATCTAGGATGCAGCTCATTACTAGAGTGCTTGCGTGTGACTTGGGGTCAGTCCTCAGCACCACAATCAAATTTCTGTTGTTTGGGGGAAAATGGCCCTTTAGTGGACAAAAGGCAGAAGGTGCTCCAAGTAGAAATGCTGCACGCATGCAGAATTTTAGTTGGTGTTTTGCTTTGATAATAATATAGGGTAGTGATATGCACAGTGGAGAATATTTTCTGAAACAAAGAATGGCCAAAGGAAGGTTACAGAGCCAGTAGGGCCAAAATGAACCTAGAATGTCTTCTGATTTTTCAGCACATAAGAAACATGTTTCCCAAGATGGTGCAATGCTTTATAGCACACTGATGTAGATTTCAAATGTTTTAAGGCATTGTTGTGTTGTGTTAATTCTAACATGCATGGTGTGATGGCAGCATGAGTTTAAAAGCTTTAGGAGAGAGGAATGGCCTGGCAGGCACCCACGCTCACTGCACCTCCAGGCTTCACTGAGGCATCTTGTACACTTCTGCTGAGGAATTCTGGTGGGAGGGGTGTGCCTCCTCATGATGTCACATGGAGTAAAGTCAATGTAGTCACTTCTAATTCACTTGCACTGTTTGGGAAATGCCAGGTTTACAAAACTACATGTTTGGAATAAAAAATGGTTACAAATGATCAGGAGTTTGGTCTATAATTTCATTGCTAGTAAGAACTTTACATGGTGTAGAATATGGGGTTCCAGTGGGTGTAATATAACACGAGTCTTAAAGAGCATGTCAAGGTTCATCCACTTCCACAAGAGTAACCATCTCGCTAGGTGTGGTGGCACACACCTGCAATCCAGCACTCAGGAGGCTGAGGCAGGAAGATAATTGTGAGTTCGAGACCAGCCTAGGCTACAAAGTGAGCTCAAAGCCAGCCTGAACTGCATAGCGAGACCCTGTCTCAAAAAGAGCAAAAAAAAAAAAAAAAAAATAACCAACTCAATATGGGTTATCATGTTATTTTCAACTGTCCCTGACCACTGACCTCCATACCAGGGCCACCATGTTCTCTGTGTATTACCTGCCTGCCCAGCACTACACCTAGAATCTGAACCTGGAGATTCTAAAGGGGAGGATTTCTTATTGTAGTAGACGCTTTCCCATGTGTCCACCAATCATTAACCATTTCTCCAGAAGTCTTCTGTCAGCAGTCTTAACATTTAAGATACCACATTTGCTTAGATTTTTAATCTCCATCTGCCTAGTTATATCATTATTTTGCCAAATACAGTACATTTGTGTGTGTTTCTTTTTGTCCCTAGATATGCCAACAAAGATCATTATACTGGTTTTTTTCAAGAACCAGCCTTTGGCTTTACCAATCAAGTCTACTGATTTTTTGCATTTTATTTCATCAATTAAAGCTTTTATATGTATTAAAATGTCTTCTACTGCCTTTATTGTTAAAAGTCTATGTGCACACACACCACATAGTATAGAAGAGATATGAAAAGATCCACACTAATGGATTAAGAGTGGTTGTCTGTAGGGAAATGCTTGTCAGTGTTTTGCTTTACTTTTTTTTTTTTTTGCTTGTCTAAATTTTAGTTTCCTACGGTGAGCATGTATTCTGTTGTAACAATGAAACATATGCATATCATTTCTTATATAAAATGATATCTAAGAGAGTACATATCGCTAAATCAAATAAGATCCCAGATCATAAGTCTGGGAAGAATGAAATGTGCTTGCAAAGGGCGTGGATAAGTCTGACACTTAAGGGGAGTGGTCCAGCGAGCGCTTTCACCCATTTAATTCCAGATGCTGCCTGGTGTCACAAACATGCCTCCTTCCCTAAGGCAGTTACTTACATTTCTCTAAGGTCGCCTAGCCTATTTCCCCATGCCAGGAAAAGACCTTGACAAACTACAGAATCAAAAGAAGCAAAATGAGGAGGAAGAGAAACCATCTATTACTAAAGTTTGCTTCCCGCTTAGGACTTCTGCAGTCTGCTAGATGACTTCACACCAAGTCTATCAGTCACTGTGTTTAGTACTAGAACTAGCATAACTGTTTACCTAGAGCTCTCTCTGTGTTACCAACTGATGGGCAGCCTTCCATCAGTAGAGTCACCAGTCCCAGGGTTTGTGCTGATCGACTCTGTAAACACCCAAGTAAGTGTGTGTCAGGAGGTCGTAGCTCTGTGCCGAAACCCTCAGGCCTGCTGCCAAACCTGGGGCAGCTCAGTCTCACCCAAATTATTCCATACTTTCCCATGATTCCTCAATAATTGAAAAGCTCTAAAAATGAAGACAAATTCAGTAGAGCTTTAACTACTGGGCTTTGAAGACACCAAACTGGTGAATAAAAGGTATTTAATAAAGGATCTGTAGGAAACCTTTCTTCTAAAAAAAAAATAGATTTTAAGAAAAAATGAAATTCTAACTCTACATCTATTCAGAACCCACCTTCTCAGGAAAGTATTTGGTTCTATATAACAGAAAACTCCAAAATAATAATGGTTTAATGTTGGAAGGAAGCTGTCTGTACCTCAGGTAA